CATCTATTTGCCATTCTACATTATCACACTTATTCTAATAAGCCTACAACTGACAAACATATCAATCAGATCAGCCACTTGCAGAAATATATAAACAAGAAATGAAAAGATATGTACTAAAACATTCTCTTCAAAAATTCAAGTTGATTCCTTCAATCTTGACTTCTGAATTTTTCTCTCTTAAATTCGTAAAGACCTGAGGACTTAGAAGAGTAGAAAGTATCTTAATTTCAAGAGCCATTTCTAAACTGACTGAATAAGTAAAGTGTCAGGTTCAAAAGGAGAATTCAAAGTTACCACTATCAGTCTATGCTTTTTCTCTGCTTGATGGGCAAATAAGACTGCTGCTATTGTGTTTTGCATCTAGTCTCAGCTGTGCAAACACCAGTTAAGTAAGAAAAACATCAAGCCATCTCTATCTGATCTACAAATAACACAGATAAACTCCTTCAGGATGAATAGTTTAGTTAGGATGAATAGCTAGTATTCAGAATAACAAAATCTGCCAACTCATAAGGACCTCTGTATAAAGCCCTCCTAACTTACCATATTTTTTCTCTCTGTATTATCATATACCCAGAAATAATTATTATAAAGCATGCCAATCCAAACCAAGGTCACAGGCAACAATTCTTATAGCAAAAGTTAAATTAAAATGATTCATAGGTATTACTGGTTACAGTGATATTTCAATAACAATTCTGCCACACTAGAATAAACTTTCTTTAAGGACACATCTCTTCTGCTCATACATGTCAAGTCGTCTCACAAGCTAGAGCCCTCCCATTTCTCCCAATTTAAAGAATAATGTCCATTATTCTCAACATCATACTCAATGGTGATAAGTTGAAAGCTTTTCCTCTAAGTTCAGGAACAAGATAAGGATGACCACTTTCATCATTTTATTCAATACTTCCTTTATTCTGGAAGTCTAGCCAGAGCAATTAGGCAAGAAAAAGAAATAAAAGGCATCCAAATCAAAAAGGAAGACATAAAATTGTCTCTACTTGTAGATGATATATACAGAAACCCTAAAGACATCATCAAAAAACTGTTAGAACTAATGAACGAATTCAGTAAAGTTCTAGGATACTTTAACCAACGAGGTAAAAGATCTGAAAATGACAAATCACAGATGAAAGAAACTAAAGAAGACAAAAATAAACAGAAAGACATTCTATGCTCATGGACTGGAAAAATTAATATTGTTAAAAATGTCCATACTATCCAAATCTATCCACAGATTCAATGCAATCCCTATCAAAATTCCATTGACACTTTTCACAGAAATAGAAAAAAACAATCCTAAAACTTGTATGGCACCACGAAAGACCCCCAAACAGCCAAAGCAATCTTGATAAAGAACAACAAAGTTTGAGGCACCACATTTCCTATTTCAAACTATATTACAAAGCTATAGCAATCAAAACAGTATAATACTGGCCTAAAAACAGCCAGATCAATGAAACAATATACAAAGCTCAGAAATAAACCCACACATACATGGTCAATTAATTTATGACAAAGAAGTAAAGAATATGCACTAGGGATAAGACAGTCTCTTCAATAAATGGTGCTGGAAAAACTAGAAAGCCACATGCAAAATAATGACAATGGACCCTTACCTTACATCATACACAAAAATGAACTCACAATGGATTAAAATTTGAATATAAGACCTGAAACCACAAATGCCTAGATGGAAACATAGGTGAGTAAGCTCCTTGACATCGATCCTGGCAATGATTTTGGGGGTTTGACATCAAAAGCAAAGGCAATAAAAGCAAAAATAAATAAGACTACATCAAACTTTTACACAGCAAAGTAAACTATCAACAAAATGAAAAGGCAACTCACTAAATGGGAGAAAACATTTACAAATCATATATATGATAAGAGGTTAATATCCAAAATACATAAACAACTCACAAAACTCAATAGCACATAAAAAAAAATCTGATTTAAAAAATGGGCAGAGGAACTGAATAGACACTTTCCCAAAGAAGACATATACATATCCAACAGGTACATGAAAGGTACTTAACATCACTAATCATCCGGGAAATCCACAAAAAAACACAATGAGGTATCACCTCACACCTATTAGAATAGCTAGCATCAAAAAGACAATAGGTAACAAGTTTTGAGGGGATGTGTAGAAAAGGAAACCCTTGTGCACTGTTGGTGGGAATGTAAACTGGTATATTACAAACTGGCCACTATGGAAAACAGAATGGCAGTGCCTCAAAAAAATTAAAAAGAACTACCACATGATCCAGTAATTCCACTTCTAGGTATATATCCAAAGGAAACAAAATCACTGTCTTGAAGAGACATCTGCACTCCCATGTTCATTGCAGCATTATTTACAATAGCCAAATAACCTACTTGTCCACCAATAGATGAATGAATTAAGAAAATGTGCTGTGCACACACATACAAAAAAATGGAGTATTATTTAACCATAAGCATGAACGAAATTCTGCCATTTGCAACATCACAGAAGGACCTTGGGGACACTATGCTAAGTGAAGTAAGTCTAACGGAGAAAGACAAGTACTATACAATCTCATTTATATGTGAAATCTAAAAAGAATTGAACTCACAGAAACAAACAACAGACTGGAAGCTGTCAATCCAGAGGCAGGGGGTAGAGGGTAGGTGAAATGGGTCAAGGAGGTCAATAGTTACAAACTCTGATTTATAAGATTAATAAGTTCTGGGGATGTAATGTGCAACATGGTGACTATAGCTATCAATACTGTATTGTATATTTAAAGTTGCTAAGAAAGTAGATCTTGAAAGTTCTCATCACAGAAAAAAATTTATAACTATGTGAGATGACAGATGTTAACTAAACATATTGTGGTAATCAATTCACAATATAGACATGTACAAATCATTGTTGTACACCCTTAATTCAATGTTGTAGGTCAATTATATCTCAATAAAACAGAAAAACTTTTAAAAATAAAGTCCACGAGCCTGTTAAGAGGAGACTGTTAAGAGGTATACTTTTATATAATCCACAGGCCAGAAGCACTGCCCTGACATTACATCTGACATACAGTTAAATGTATAACCATGAGGACTGAAACAGGTTATTCTACACATTGGCTAAACATTAGAATTCTGTGATTACGGCTCCCAGTTTGTGCAAACAAAAACTGATCACATTATGAATAAACAATAAAAAGCTTAAAGCAATTAGTGTATTATAACTTTTTGGATTTGATGGCACATAACAACAAAAACCAGTCCAGAGTAGAAATGGATATTGTGATGTCAGACAGACAGGCACACGTTACATAGGAAGACGTGTTTAAATGGTAACACTCCTTCAGACAGAGTCCTAGCAGGTTTGGTTTCAAGTTCTACTGGAGAAATAATTTACCACCATAATCACGAAATAACTAACTAATATATTTTTTGTTATTTGCTGATATGCATCCATAATTCTCATTCTGAAGGAAAGATTTTTATTTTTCTGGTGCCATCAAGTGGTAACATTATGAAGTGTTCTAGGATTCAATGCAAATAACTTAGACAAAAGATATCACACTGATGTGTTTTATCTATGTCAATTAAATACTAGTGATGTTTTAACACAAAAATTATGTAAAAAGAAAAGGGAAAAATATCCCAGCCAATTATTTGCAACTATTTTTGAACGCCCAACCCAAATGTGAATTGAGACGAAGAAGAAAAATGAGTAGATGTGTAAGACCAGAATGCTCCACTAGCAAACAAAAAACTCCAAAAACTTATGAAACTATTTGAAAAACAAAAATTTGTATCAAAATGATATATCAGTCACTCCATGAGAAATATTGCCCCTGAAACTCCATTAACATGGCTATAAAAGAATATTTTTAAGGCGAAATCCCACAAGGACAAAGAGATCGGGAGAAAATATTGCAACAAAAATTTATAAGTTAGCAAGTAGATAGATAAGTGTTTATTGACTTGGGAAACTGAAGAAAGCGGCCTGACTCACACGGCACTGCAACTCTCTCCCAGCGTTCAGGAACTGGTGGCCCTAGATAAGAGTGAAGGATTAAAACTGAGAATTAGTCAAAAGCAGTTAAAAAGCAGTTAGGATGCCAATACATATACTCCCTCTTCCACTCCATAGAGCCAAGTATTTACTCATCTTTACACCATATTAGAAGACTGAAAGTTTTATCCTCTAGGAAAAGTAAAACAGAAGGCTTCTAGACTACGGGACACCAGGCAGAGTGAGGGCAGGAGTACTATAATAAAAAAGCGTTAGTAACACAGGAGATTGTGGTCATCTAACAGGTCAAAGACCATAGACAAATGACAAAAATAATAATTTTCTGGAAAGAAAACCAGTGGTAGCAGGTCCCATCAACCTTTGATTATTGTGTTCAGGAAGTCATGTAACTAATTGCAGCATGCTTCATTCTGCTCTTATAAGGAAAAGGCAAAACATTAAAACAAAAATTGATGCTTAAAAAAAAAGGTAAGCTGTACTTACACTCAGCAACATTCAGCTCCACGTGTCCCACATCACCCCCATTCATTAGCTGAGAGTTTACTGCAACTAATGAAAAACAGTAGGCAAATCTGAGAACCCTTTACACTCTTAGTTTAAAAGCCCATTTCATCTCGTCTCTTCAGGCCATTGAGAGCAAATGCACTAAAAAAGCTCTGTGAACACTCCTGAGAGGTGAAGGCTAGTGAACATCGGCCATATCAGGAAAAACACAGGTTATTTTATTCATAGAAGAGACTTGATTTTTTTTAATCTTGTTTTTGTTGATTAACTGATCAAAGTAGAGAGTTAAGTACCTCTGATATTGTTACGTAACTAAGAGTATATATTTATATTTAGGTCATTTAATCTTCAGCAATTTCTTGTTTTCAGTCTTGTTTTTACATAGGATTATACATAAGATATAGCTATAGGCATATATTTTTTTCCAGATACCAACATAAGGACATGCTAAAACATATTAATACAGATAAAATTGTACCTTGAACACCTTCTAGGAGTAAATCAACTCCCTTCCTATAAAAATCGGAAGCAGCTTCATAGTCGTCTTCTTCTTCCTTTTTTAAAGCCAGCTTTATTAATTCTCCTGCTTTCTCCAAATAATCTCTCTTGCCAAGCCTGGATTTCAAACTGCCAGGAAAAAGGCTACGATTTTCCCGTTCTTCTTCTGTTTTGTTCTGCTCACTGTCAGAAGCAACAGCCCCTAGTGCTGAAGGATCCGATGAAAGACTGAGACCAAAAGTTCTAATGGGAGAATTTTGATTGGAAGCCATTCCATCATCTAACTCAGCAAGAGAATCCACATCAATAGTAAGAGATATCAGATCACTGTCACTGGAGAAGCCTGGAAATATGATCACAATAAGAAACAGATATTAAGCTGAGAATCAGCCAAAAGAATACAAATCATGCTGACTAATCATTTTTTCATACTATCCAAGTCAATCAGGAAGGCTGTAATTTACTGATGGAAGTCAGTGGCTAGCAATTTATTTCAGCTTACTTCATTCATTTTTGCACTGTCTCTTCTGTAACTCTGGGAGACCATCTCTTTGCCCCAATTATCAAACGAAAACTAAAGAAACATCTTTATCTGGCCTTGCTGTCAAAAAGAGCCTTTACCACAAGATCATGTAAACCATTTACAGAAAGCTGATGCTTGTACACACAGCTGCTGTGAACAACACTATGATAAAAGGAAAAGAATAAGACAAAAAGAAGTCCTTGAAATCCAGCTCTTAAAACTTACTGCATGACCAACAGCAAGTTACTTAATACAATTACTTATTCTCCAAGGCTTTAAACAAGGAATAGCGTTAATGCATATAAAGCATAATATACTATCATTAAACTATAACTATTATAGCAATTATACAATAATTATTTAACTATCAGACAATGTATCCTCAGAGGTGTGCTGTTAGGTCACCATCCAAACCTGGGAAATATATGTCATTTATTTATTTATTTTTTAAAGAACTGAATATTCAGAAATTGTTGTTTCAGCCTCTTCCAAAGCTTTTGGAGCGAGCTCTGGTCTATATTTGTATCTGTTTTCTGACAAGAAAATGAATAATAGGTGCTAATGAAATATTTAGCAATGAAAATGACTTCTCTCGTTTCATATTACTGACTTCACGGTAAATGAGCATGATCTACAATAACAGTTATTAAACTTTTTGGTCTCAGACCCTCCCTTTACATTCTTAGAATGCTTAAGGACCTCAAAGAAATTGTTTATGTGGATTATATCTGTAAATGTTTACCAATCTTGATATTTAGCAGACTGAAATTTTTTAAACATTAAAGTCCATTACATGTTAACATAATTTTATAAAAGTTATTATATTTTCCAAAACGAAAAATATTTAGTAAGAGAAGTGGCACTATTACATTTCTGCAAATCTTAACAGAAGATGGCTACATTCTCTTCTGATTTTGCACTCAATCTGTTGTCTTATGTTGTTGTGATTGAAAGATTTGAATAAAATGTCACATAGCTATGTAAGTGAAAATGCAGTAAATATTTTAGTGGTCTTTTTAAATAACTGTGGATATTGTTTTCTGATATTACACCAAAACCTGACAAGTGGTAGTTTCTTAAAACTTAGTTGCCATGTAGAATATAAATTCCTATCAATGAAATTTGTTTGTTACACTCAAATGCATTCGTCTGTCTTGCACACTGAATAGTCTTTCATCCATCATGAGTTTATAACTCCACCCATTGGTCATTTTGAAAATACTGGTCCCCTGAGTTACACAGATCTTCCAAATGGTGACAAATTTCATTATTACAATATCACCCAAAAAAGCACATTTGTTACTATCACCACCAACCTCACCAGAAAATTCTTTAAGTACTGGAAAACTGTCAAGCTCTAAGTAGCAGACATTATTTCTCCAAAATTCTTATTTGGGGTTGATAACTTGAATCATAGCCTTGGCAACAAATACTGTCAGTTGTTTTCCTTAAAGTGTCAACTCACTTTATTCACTTTCGAAAAAATATTTGCCAAATATCCAAGTCTGAATACTAATAGTTTGTCTGAAAATTGTTCTTTCAGGCAAAAATGTTGTTCCAGGAAAAAAGCAGCTAGTTTATGGCTCAAATAATTGCACGAGTACTTTTCCTCAAGACAACCATGGTAGTTCAGCATGCAGTGTTTCAGTATATTTCCATTTCATGACACTAAGACATGTACCTAAAAACTGAGATTTAAGAAAGTTAAGTTTTGACAGTTTTATCGAGGACGTTCTTAGGTAAAATTAGCCCTGGTGTTACTGCAAGTATGTGAGATGATTACCGTCGCAGTCTGGGGTAACTGTCTTTTTTTTTTTTTTTAATGCCTGGGTCACTGTCTTGATTCATGCTCAGGCACAGCGGTTCACCCGCCACTGCTTTTGCTTCATCAGTGCAAATGTCAACACAGTAAAAAAGGCAAAATAATTTCCTAGATTATTAACAAAACAATTTTGCCTTGGTGGCCTCTTGAAAAGATATGAGGAATACCCAGGAGCCTAAAGACCATATATTGAGAGCCACTGATCTGTATCATTAAATAAGATCGATAATAGGGTTATGTAAAAATCAGGTTTTGGAACAACTATGAGGTCTGCATCACCACTGAATACTGATTGCCAAGTTTCTCAGGAAAAGAAATATATTAAGAAGGAAATTATTTCCTCAGTAAGTCAAAATTAAAGGCAGATTAGACTATACAATTCTAGATCAGGGATCAGCTAAATTTTTCTCTGAGGGCCATCTGATCTCTTTCAAACCAGTCAACACTGCTGCTGTAGCACGAAAGCAGCCAGACAACACAAAAGTGAATAAGCATGACTGCGTCCCAATACACTTTTATTTATGGATGTTGAAAACTGAATTCCATATTATTTTCACGTGCCACAAAATAATATTCTTTTGAATTCTGTCAATGATTTAAAAATATAAAAACCATTCTTAGCTCTTAGGTCATATAAAAACAGGTGATAGGCTGGATTTGGCCCATAGGCCATAGTTTGTCAAGCTCTTTTATAGACTCAAAATGCTTACTGCCTATCAAATAAAGCAAGTTAGGGTAAAAGCATGTTACTGGAAGTTACGCTCAAATTTCAAATCAGCTTTAACACACTATTTTGGCTCTCTATCAATCTACTGTTTTCAGGGTTTTTTAACAAATCCTCAGAATCCCCATGAAGAACTAATTTTGAGGTAAAAACTTTAGTTATAAAATAACTCATGGGGATATAATGTACAGCAATGACAACTACAGTTAATAATACTGTATTGCATATTTGAAAGTTGCTTAGAGAGTAGATCTTAAAAGTTCTCATCACAAGGAAAAAAATTTCTGTGTACAGTGATAGATATTAATTAAACTTATTGTGATAATCAACGTAGGGGTAGAGGCGCCAACCTCTGCTCAGCTAAAAACTCAGCATACAACTTATGACTCCCCAAAAACTTAACTACAGTCCCTCACTGTCCATGGGGGATTAGTACCAGGACCCCCTAAGGATACCAAAATCTGAGGATGCTCAAGTCCTTTATATAAAATGGTATAGAACAATGCAAAAGTGAGTCCTCTGCATCCAGAGATTCCCAACCACAGACAGAAAATACTGTTTTTGATCCAAAGTTTAAATCTGTGGCAAAACCCGGGAATATAAAGTGCTGACTATACATTTATTGGAAAAAATTTGCCTATAAGTGGACCCGAGCAGTTCAAACCCATGTTGTTCAAGGATCAACTGTGTATACAAACATCCAATCATTAGGCTGTACACCTGAAACTACTATAATGTTTTGTGTTAATTATACCTCAATAAAATAAAATAGATTTAATTTTGTTTTTTAAAAGCAACATATTTCATTAAAAGCACAATCTCAGATGGGGTTCACTGGACTTGGTGGAAATCTTTTCAATTCTCTGACATTACAGTTGTGCAGATGGTACTTCAAAATCAAAATCTTTTATAGCAACCTACAAAATTATCTACTGTTTTTGAGAAACATATAAACTTTAAGAGATTTTTTAAATAATTTTTAAATATTTTACATATTTCAATGCAAATTTATTTCCTTAAATGGTACCATTATATAACCTAATCCACCGAAATTAATAAATAGACAAAGTTTAAAAGAAATGTTCTGGTTTACACAGATAATCACAAAAGAAAGGAAATGCTGTTACAGATCTTTTGTCAGCTCTCCTGTGTCTTGTCACTATAACCTTCACATCATCTATCACGTTGCACTGTTCACGCTTTGCCTGATTTTCCTTTCTAACAAGAACAATAACAGCTAAGGGCAAGAGGGTAAAATTATGTATACTCAGTTTCTTGGCTTTTGACCACAAAAATCTAGTGTCATGGTCATATTTCCTCTTACCTTTCCAATCTCATTTTATTAGCAAAGGAAATAATGATTAAATGAAATTAGATCAGAAAAGTAAGACTATCAAAATACCTCAAGAGAAAGTCAGATAGTAAAATAAAGTAATAAATAAATGTTCTATACAAATTGTTTCCTTTTCAATTTCTACCTAATCCTAAATACAGAATATTTCAAAGTAAGGACGCAAATAAAAACTAGCAGGTTAGAATGAGAAATTTTTTAGCCTATCTAGGAGAAGCAAAGGCAAACAAAAAGACTTCTGGTTTTAACCTTTTTGGAGGACAATTTGGCAATACATATCAGATGCAAACAATGCATATATATTTGACCCAGAAATTCAGCAATTTATACCAAAAACAACCAGAGATATGAAAAAAGATCTATGTGTAAGATGATACATCATGAAAATCAGTAAAAATTTTGAAATAAATTTCTAACAATAGGAGATTATGGTTCATCTCTATGATAAAACATTACACAGCTATTAAAAATGTTATAGAAGAATGTTTAATGCCAAAGTATTCATGATCTATTAGGCAAAAATGACAAACTGCAGTGTGTGTGTGTATATATGTTATGTATATATACATACTGTAATTCTCATTTAAAAACATAAACACAGAAAAAAGGCTAGAGAGCTCCATTAAACACTAAAAGTAATTTTCTCTGTGTGGTGGGATTACCAACGACTCTCATATTCCCTGCATGTGTATGACAAGCCCCTAAAGCTCTGTACATGAACGATATCAAAAGAGATGCAGCAAGGACTAAAATGGGAATCTGAGAATAAAGATATGTTATACAGACATCATTTGTGGAATACAGGCCTGTATGAATTATGCAGCAGCCAGTGCCAAGGAATTCCAAACTTAAGAGAGAAGATAGAAATGATTATAAAGACAGATCTGTTTAAGGCACAGTAACTCCTGACACTTCTTCCTTGC